GAAGCCAAACTACCGTGATGTATGGAATGCCTTAAATAAAGATCAAGACCTTGGCGCTGAATATATAAGAAACGGAGCATCACAGCGCAGTCAGTTAAGATTTGGTACTCGCGGCGAAATAAATAAATATAAGTGCAAATAAATAGACTCTTGAACAATAGTGATATATAAATAATTAGTAGTTAAGTGTTTAGTTAGTTTTATAGTGTTTTAAGTGTAGTTAAGTTAATAAATAAATAGTTAAGTTCGTTAATTAACCAGTGCGTGTTTTTATTCACACTACGAACAGTTAAAAACGTTACATTATTTATTAAATTATACCAGATTTTTATACGGGGCCCCCTCGAGGCTATCTATGCCACAAAAAGAAGTAGTATTAAAATGTATAGTCATAGAAATTATAGACAAAAAACCTCACGCAACCCTAAAATCGCCGTTACTGGCATATGAAAAAAATTGAATTAGGTCTTAAAAAGCAAGATGTGTATAAAAGCTGAGTTCTGCTTTTCAAACGGTTTCTGAGATATCGTTAAAACAAAAAAATTTGGCATTACTTGGTATAGCTATAGCTGATAAAACTTTGACCCCCCACACCCCCGCATCGCTACGTCTCTGGTACAAAATAAATATTAAAAATAAAAAGCCATTAATACGCAGAACATTAATCCACTTAATAAAAAATGTCAACGTAAACATCAATGTAAATGTACTATTTGAAATGAACAATTTCTAATACCTCACGGGTTACTTTGACAACAGTAATGGTTATTTTTGTCACATCAATAAGAAGTGCCACATTAAAGCATATTTCCAATAGTTTATTAAGTGGATTAGTCTATTTTGTGAATTTGCAATTTTCATGGCTTTAGCGTTCTCAAAAGATTATTTATAATTTTTAAGTCATATATGTATAAACTGGTTTACGTATATTTTTATGAATATAATAGTTGGTAAATGTTTCTAGGCCAAAAGCATTAATCATACTAAAATATTAAGAAAATTTACTTCTAATAATGTGTAATCTAGTTAAATTTCATTGTTTAATAACTTTTTTAATATTTCGATTTTTTGCGTCATATAATATAATATGTCCAATAATGACCTCGTTACCTAATAACTTATCTATTGATATATCGATAAATTTTATTTACCAACGAAGGTTACTTCTTTGTAGAATGTGATCTAATTCTTAGGTACAGCGGATGATGTAGGTATTTTGCATTAAGTTTTTTCCATTAAAAAAAAATAATTGGCGATAAATTAAACATGATTTTGCAGTGCATTATGAAATAACGTGGGAATCTCTTTTTATAAGTTTTATAGTACGTAATGCCTTATACAGTATAAGGTTAATAATACCTATATAAAAGTTTTGCATAACGTGTTTTTGACACCTACTTAAGATACACTGTTTTATATTTTATAAAATTTATACATTAATAGATCAATATATGTTTGTGTACAAAAATTCACCGAAAAATTATTATAATAAATCATTCTTGTGGTATTTAAATATATATGTATATAGGTCTTTAAATTAAAAACTAGCCACCCTTAATAACTTTTGAGTTAGGTATAGTAAATATGATCTTGAGCAAAAAAAAAATTTCATGTTGCACCCTCTTCCCTCCAGCTACCCTTATTAAAAAAAAACCTGCAAAACATCATTTTAAAGGAAATTCAATTTCTGATCCATTAAAGTTAAAAAAATCCAATCACATCCATGTGCTGCAGCAGACCCCAATTTTAATAAATGCAGGACAATGCCCCATGTTGCCAGAATAATATTCAATTTTTTAGAAAATGAGTCAATCGAGCCCAATCTCCAGACCTTAATCAGATTGAGTATGCCTGGGACATACTACAAAGAAGGGCTATTCAACAAAATCCATTTTTTAATAATAATACGGGGCCCCCGGCTAGGGGGAGGCACGATGGGCTTCGACATGCGTAAGCAAACAACATTACCCACATGTAAAAAATTGAGGCATGAAATTAAAGAAATAAATAATATTATTATTTAATTGTTTATACTTCGATTTATTAAATTAAAATTTTCCTGAATACCCTCTTGTTCCAACGAGGCCGTGAACGTATGCGAATTGTTTCTGCCCGCACCTTTCCGCTATGCGTTGTCTGCGGCGCATATTTTTCTGTGCTGTGCGCCGCATACTGAGTCTGCTTTGCATGTTATTATCATAGGTTATATTAATAGCAAATTATAAATAATTATTAGCGTTACAATTATTTCAAATGACTTGCCTTTATTTTCAAATAGAAACCTTTTAAAAGATGTTGAAGAACGGTAAATGTAAATTTTAAAATTTGCCTGTACATAAAAAGCTATATATACATATAATATTTTGGGCAGTCCACGCCAAGTCGGCCAAGAGTAAGACTTCATGTTTCCGATTTGCTTCAAATTTTCAGGGTCGAACTAAAGTAATGGAGAAATCTAAAATTTCAACCTCTTTTATGCATTTTTGTAGGTTTTACATAATAAACAAAAAAAAATGTCACTTTCGATTATTTAAAAACCAGAAAGACAAAAAAATTCGAAAAAAAATCATATAAACATATTTTTTAACGTTGTTTAAGATAAATAAAAAAAATTAGTTCAAAAATTCCCAAAAAATTTTATTAAAATTTAAATTCCCAAAAAACGACAACCCACTTAAAAAAAAATTCTTGATGATAGCCCTAAGTTTTTCGCAAATTTTGACTACTTATTTTTGGGGGAGACTCAGAAACTGTAGAAGGTATGAATTGTTTTGTAAAGAAATGCATGTGAAATCCTCGCTATAGATCCAAGCCTAAATCGGAAACATGAAGTCTTGGCCGATTTGGCGTGGACTGCCCCATTTATTAAATGATAAAAATTGGTTCATGCAAAAAAATGATACTAAAAAATTTGCCAACAGCTATTCCCGTATAAGGGCCCCTACCAGATTTTTGATACGGGGCCCCATCGAGGCTTGCTATAGCAAGTGGCGTATACGCCACTGGTGATCATTGATCAGGGTGGGATAGATAATTAATTTTTAATATGGAAAGAAGATGTAGAGCTGTAATTAATGCTAGAGAAGGTCATAGAACGTATTAAGCTGTGGAATCCTTTTTTTTTAAGTAAATATTATAATATTATTATGCTTCTTTTTGGATTTCTAGTTAAGTTCTGATTTTTTTGTTTTTTTATATTAATAATGATTCTTGTTTCATCGAATTTGAGTGAAGACTTGAGTAAACATCATATAAAAATGTTAAATAAAAATATTACAAAATAATCACTTCACCATGTTGATGTATATATAAAAAATAGGGTGTTCCATTGGAAATTTTAAAGTTACCCCCTGTTCCCTCTATTTGAAACTTTGAAATATCTCAGTTAGTATGCAATTTACGAAAAAATGTTTAAAATAAAAATTAAATGATTAGAGGGGGGAAATCAATCAGTACTAAAATTGTTCCTCATCCTCCTCCTTTATTGCAGATTCGGATCATTCGACTAAAAATAGGTAGATTTTGTCTAAAACATTTTTTCATATTTGTAATAGATGGCGCTGAATGAAAAAAAAAATCAATTTTGTTTGATTTTTCTTCTGTATACAATTCTGCAATAATTTTTGAATAAAATAATTGGTTTTATTTTTTAAATTTATTTATTTTTTAAATTTTAATTAAAGAAGGTGCTCAAAATGCATACTAACTCTGTGGGTAAAAGGCATAAGGGGATAAGTCAAAAATATGAATTTTTTAGCAGTGCCTTAAACGTGTTCGCATTAATTTAGGAAATACATTTATGGTTAGCGGGTATACCCTTTTGCTAGCACATGTCATATGCTAGCAAAAGGGTATACCATAAATATATTTCCTGAATTAATGCGAACACGTTTAAGTCTCTACCGAAAAATTGCTTTTTTTTACTTATCCCACAGAACTGAGATATTTCAAAGTTTCCAGTTAAATGACTCACCCTGTATATATATATATATATATATATATATATATATATATTTATAAAAATAGAATAATTTTAACTTAAAAAAATTAATTAATATATTAATATTTGAAACCATAATATTTTTTTTTATTAAGAATCCTTTTTGTTTTAAGGTAGGGGAAGTGGACAAAATACGATTTTGTAGTAGTTTTATAGTTATTAGTAAAAAAGTAGTAGTAGTAAAAAACGACAACGATATTATACTGAAAAGGGTTGTAATGTTGACATGGTTGAAAGCAATTATTTTCTACTACTAATCAAAAAATCCCTATCGCTTGGTATAGCTGAATACAGCTGTAGTGTAAAATATTTTCAAGACATCCTGTATATATTTTTATAAAAAAAAGTTTTTAATTTTTTGTAAATAAGGGTAACCTTTTAAAGCTTCTTCATATAAGAACATATTTTTAAAAAATACTTTATAGAGAAATTTTGTAAAAAAATTAAAAATTAATATTAGGTTAATCTAATTTACAGATTTTTATAATATAAAATTACTTATTTCAAAAGACAGACATTGCTTTAGGCAAATATAAAACTCATACGGTAAGCGGCATAACTTAAAAGGTAAAATTAAAATGTTTGTATTGATTAATTAGCGTTAAAGCAACAAAAATAGCGGCAATTCGATGAGTAATATAATTTTGTTTAATTACGGTATTTTTTATAAATTAAACCTACCGAGAAAGTTTTTAAATAACAAGTATTTCAACACATAATTTATAAATGTATAGTACGTACCGAGAGCGCATCCGCCATTATGATATCCCATTAATTACAATATTCATAAATTTTGTATAACAAGTTCGTATACATTTAATGATTTTCAGATATCCTATTTTTTTAAATAAATGCAAAATCTGTCATTCTTGGTACAAATGCATGCAATATATAATACTTATACGGTATTATATGTATACAATTTTATTATCTGATATTCCCATTAAATAAAATTATTTTTGTATTGCTTGATATTATTAAAAATACAAGAATTACTTACCTACTGAACCCCAATGGGGATGAGCTAAGTTATTGAACCATCCATCGTATCTTTGTTTTTCTAACTTGCTGTGTGGTTTTTCTGAAAATATAAAAATATTATATTATGTATCAAGTTTTATAAATGTCATTTTAGTTACGAGTTTTATTAGGCAATAGCAAAGCTTGCAAGTGAGTGTTTAATAAAAACTAGTGTCTAGAGAAGTTTATAAACGAGTTGCTTACTAGCCAATTTTATTTGTTAAACATTTAACATCTGTCAAATGTCAACGGATTTACCCCCGTGACTAAAATGTCCAAAAGTCCGTGACAAAAACGCCATGAAGTCGCAGCTCGTCAATGTAGGAGTAGATAATAGAATATTATGTCTCAAGTTTTATAAACGCAATTTTACTTACGAGTTTTATTAGCCAAGGGCGAAGGCTACGAGCAGGTGTTTAATAAAAACGAGTGCCTAGAGAAGTTTATAAAACGATTTGCATACTATACTTTATCGACGACAAATAGAAATAAGAATTCAAAGCCAATTTTAATTCATAAATATTTGACATCTGACGAATTAATTTAACCTTACTTTTTCGTAATTTATGAAGCTAACTTCAGGCCGTGACAAAAACTTTTTCAAGATTGGCGTCAAGAAACTATTTAATAACGTTGTATTTTTGTATTGAGATATTAAAATAATTTCCACATTTTAGTATTATTTTATAAAAAAAGGCAATTTGTTTTGACGATTGTATGACATTTGACCACTGTCAACTAAGTTAACGCCAACTTCAGCCTGTGACTAAAACTCCATAAAGTCACAACTCAACTCAATGTGTATTTAAAAGATCACTTAGTGTCATGGAAACATGTAAGATAATGGGCGTTTTAAAGGTGTGAGTAGAAAAAGTATATTGTTCGACTGGTGAGCGTATACTCTATAGAGTTAACACGCGAGTAGAATCTCCTCTTTTGAGCAATAGTCGCACACAATATTCTATTTAACACCCATTTAATTTCTAAAAATGGAAAAAAGTGAGGTTAAAACACCTTGAAAGTTGTCAGATAAAATATATAAATATGAATATAAATAATAGTATATTATTAAACGAGAGATAATGCAGGCTATTATTCACAAGGATGAGGTTTGCGTCTACAGCCATTAGGCGAGAGACGTATATCATCCGAGTAAATAATGAGCATTATTTCGAGTGTAATACTATGCTTTTTATGCTCCAATTAAGTAATTTTTATTAATAACAAAATGTATTATAACCTAATTTTTTTCCGATTTTAAAGATTATTATAGTTGTTCCTCGTATATATAAACAAATCTAACATCTGTTACTTGTTTCCATTTAAAACCCGATTGGTCCAAATAACAGTGAATATTGAAATCAGCCAATCAGTGATGCCTAACAACGTGAATAATGAGTTCAATATTCCCGTTGTTAGGCCGGGCAGTTATATTGGTTACCATTATTTACAAAAATAACCCAAAAAATTTTGACATTTTACCTTTTGACATTTTCCAAAAACTCCCAGGGACACACCCAATCTGGGATTTTTTAAATTTTGCATAAAAAATATTTTGTGATTTTTGAAAAAAAAATGTCTTTAATTTTTTTTATTTTTGCCAAAAAAATTATTTTTTTATTTTTAGAATTTGCAAAAAATTTCATTTTAGCAAAACAAATTTTAATTTTTTTTATTAAAAAGAAATATTTTTCCGTTTTGCCACAAACTTTATTGTCATGGCAAATGAATAAAATAAGCATTAGAGGAACTGTTTCTATTTTTATGTTATTAAGTAGATAGTTACAGGTAATATATCTTTTAAGTTGAATGGACTTTTAAGTTGCACATTAAAAACATAATTTTATGTTCCAATCTATTTCAGGTTTACATAATGTAAAAAAATAAAGCGGGCCTGAGCCTGCGGGTGTACAGCTAATATCAATTAAAACTGGCTTTAAATTTATTGCGGTAGTTGAATAAAATATTTTTTCTACTTCCACCTTTAAAACGCCCTTTATCGTACATGTTTCCATGACACTAAGTGACCTTTTAAATAGACATTGACAAGTTGTGGATTTACGGCGCTTTAGTCACGGGCAGAAGTTAGCAACAGGTTTTTAGTCACGGGCTGAAGTTAGTTTTAAGTTAGTTGACAGTTGTCAAATGTCATACAATCGTTAAAATAAAGTGCCTTTCTTGTAAAATAATACTAAATATGAAAATTATTTTATTATCTCAATACAAAAATACAAAAATATTAAATAGTTTCTCAACGCCAATATTTGAAAAGTTTATATGAGCATTGTACTGACCTTTTAATTTCGCCGGCAGTAAACTATAACTTAAATTCTGGCACGGACTCTACTGTAAAGTCCTCATAAAACATTTCCTTTACTTTGACTGTGAAAAACTGACAATTTTCTAGATACATTTCGATTTTATAACCTTTATAATTGTGTTTATAAAATGTAAAAATGTGACATTTAACAGTTTCCCCTGTTGTTTCAGAGATTGCGCTCTATACAAATTTTTGATTTAAATCATTTTAAGATAATAATAAGTATTTGTCGTAGAAAAAGTATAGTATGCACCTCGTTTATAAACTTTTCTATACATTCATAAACTTAAGCACTCGCTCGCAAGCTCGCTCGTGCCTAGATTAAATTCGTGTATAAAATGGCGTTTATCCAACTTGATACATAATATACTATTTTGCGACTAATGTGTGTGCGTCAAACGAGGAGATTCCGCTCGGGCATTACCGCACTCCCTACGCTAGTACGGTAAACTCAACGCTCAAGGAATCTCCACTTTTTCCCACTAGTCGCACAATATACTATTAATGCAGTGCTATAACTGCACTTTATTTCCAATATTACCTACTATAAATATTTTATATATCTATAAATTTTATTATCATATAAACAATAATTGTGCACAGAATCATCACTTCACTATGCAATATGTTTTTGCAATTTACTTCAGATATGGCTTTAAAGTGTTTAGAAAAGCGATTTAAATGATGAAATTTAATTCGTGCATTACATCCATCGACACCAAAAGCAAATCAGTTATATTTTTAATTGGAACATAAATAAAAAATAAGACCACATCTTTTAATTAATACACACATCAACAAAGTCTAGGGATAATCGTGAAAATTAGCAATAAAACAAATATTTTTGTAAAGAAACTCTTTTTTATGTGATATTCTCACATATATATTTTTACCATTTTTGAAGGAAAAGTCATAAAAATATGCAATGAAATGAAAATAGCTGGGTCAGAATTTCTCAAACGGGCCACCTGAATTAGGTCAAAATTAGTTTTTGATTGTAGATACATTTTTTCGATAGTATTTTACATCACTAACACAAATCCTAAAGGATTTTGTAAAAAAAAAAAATTTCAATTGACATATTCATGATATTAAAAGTAAAAGTTTTTAGTAATTAAAAAATAAAAAAAAATCATTATGGCTAAACTAATTATCCGATTCCAACGATTTAACTAGCGTTGGAATCTTGTTTTGACATAGATTCTTTGTTATTTTTTTCAATTGTACAATTTTCATTTAGGTCGATTTTTTTTTGTTTTTTATAACAAATTCGGAAATAATTGGCTTCTGCGCCAGCTATCGACTCGAAAAAAAAAACACATATACTCCAATCATTTTTCGAAATTATGCTGCTGAGAAAAAAAATGGCCCGCAGGTTCCAGACCACCGTAAGACGTCGCGTCACAAGCGCGTACAGCGTACACGGTTCGGAGCGTGAGCTGACACCGCGCGCGGCCACAAAAGGACGAATAACTTTTTGTCAACCTGCGGGCCATTTTTTTTCTCAGCAGCATAATTTTGAGAAATGATTGGAGTATATGTGTTTTTTTTCTCGAGTCGATAGCTGGCGCAGAAGGCAATTATTTCCGAATTTGGTATAAAAAAAACAAAAAAAAATCGACCTAAATGAAAATAGGACAATTGAAAAAAATAACAAAGAATCTATGTCAAAACAAGATTCCAACGCTAGCTATATCGTTGGAATCGGATAATTAGTTCAGCCATAATGAATTTTTTTATTTTTTAATTATTAAAAACTTTGACTTTTAATATCATGAATATGTCAATTGAAAATTTTTTTTTTACAAAATCCTTTAGGATTTGTGTTAGTGATGTAAAATACTATTAAAAAAATGTATCTACAAACAAAAACTAATTTTGACCTAATTCAGGTGGCCCGTTTGAGAAATTCTGACCCAGCTTTATTCTTATTAAACAATGAAGTGAAAATAACAAAAAAATCAAACTTTATTATGAAGGCAAAAATAATGTCAATAAGTGGTGTGATCTCCTCTACTATTCACCACAGCTCTGCACCGTCTGTTCATACTCAAAATTAATGCATCAATTGCCTCCTTTGTAAACTTAAAATGAGCTCTTGCATGGCGTTCTCTATAGAGAACGCCGTGGCTCCTGACGATTATTAAAAAAAAAGATTTCTACGCATAACCCGCCTTTGTAACATGTCCCATAGATGCTCTATAGGATTTAAGTCCGGGGATTGTGCTGGCCATGGAAGAACGTCTTTTCTTCTTCATCCAAGAATCACTTATTATTCGTGCAATGTGTGGAGTGGCATTGTCGTGCATGAAAATGAATATTGGACCAACAGTTGCAGCATAGGGAATCACGAGGGGTTGAAGGATAACATCTCGATAAGCAATTGAGTTTAAAAATCCCTGAAGTGGAATGAGATCACTTCTTCCTCCAACGCTGATGCCACCCCACACCATAACAGTTCCACCACGGTAAGTATGGACCTCTTGAGCAGTTTCTAGCCGTGCTGCTGGTCCGGGACATCGCCATACCCTCGTTCTTCTTGAGTCTGGATGCAGGCAAAACCGAGATTCATCACTTGTTCACATTGTTCATCAGACCAATTTAAATGCTCCTGGGCCCACAAAAGTCTATCTACTCGATTTCCAGCGAACAAAGGGGGAACCCTGAGAGGGCGTCTAGCATGAAGATTTCTTTCATGTAATCGTCTTCTGATGGTCTGAGCACTCACAGTCACATTATGT